GGCTGGTCGTCTTCCCCGCCCGTTCTTCTTACGGCGTACAGGGACAGCCTGCTCCTGCATCTTTAAGACTTCCTTCTTGAAGAATGTCCAGCCTTCCTGGACCCCTTTGCCCTTCAGGACTGTCTCCCAGGGGACTCTCTCAACCAGTGTCCTGAACAGGCCAAAGTCCGCCCTCCGGAAGTCCATGGTTGCGGTTTTGCTGCCCCCCCTCCTTACTTCACCAAGAATGGAGAATTCTACCATTTCATGGTCGCTAAGCCCAAGACGGCCTTCGACCACCACATCTCCCAACAGTCCTTCTCTGTTAGTAAACAGCAGGTCGAGTGAGGCACCTCCCCTGGTAGGCTCACTTACCATGTTTTCATTGGTTCTAACATGCGCAATTGTGGACAAAACCAAAATATGTGTGACAAACAAAAGTCCTCCAAATGTTTGCTTCTTAATTGTAAGCCAATCTTTTCATTTTGGAGGGAAAGAAAGGAGTTGAAATGGTTGAACCTAACTAATGACTGGAGTAGAGGACAGTGAAACAGCCATACCAACATCTGTTGGAACACTCTAGTAACACTTGTGGGAAATTTAAGTTAAAAGCACCTGATTTGATTACACTGGGACAAATTTCAGAAACAGGATCCAATAGTGCTCTTAAAATGGCTGGAGTTTGGGTTAGAAGGCATCCAAGGTGGATATATGAAGGCAGGCTATTGAAGTGTCCATACAGCTACAGGGTTTGGGTTATTTTCCCCATTAGACTGCAGAGCCAAAATATTCAGTGGACTTAAAGGTTCATCAAATACATAAAATCAAAAGAATTGTATAGACCCTAACCATAATGTCTGTTCCTCTTCAGAGCTCAAATTTTGCTGTCTTGCTTCTCATATCTACAGTTCTCCAGCCTTAAGATCTTAGCTTTAGTGACCACCTGAGAGAAGAAAGGCCTTTCAAATGTCAAACATAAATACAATGACCATTTTCCTAACTTCTCTCTTCCAGATGCTCAGACATTTCTAGGATCATAACGGGGGGGGGGGGGGGGGGGGGGAGGGCAAAGAGGACAAACAAATCCTGTGTTCCCTTTGCCATCTTTAAGTCTCAGGATAACTTACTTTGTTGAGGTTGTAAACAAAATGTCCAAAATAAGTATTTTCTTAACGCTTTTCTTCACGGCAAGCATGGCTAAACTTAGATTGCTCTACTATTCCAGAGCAATCCCTTGCTCTGGAATACAAGGGAGTCAGTGTATACTGTTGATTATGATAGTCAAGGTGTAGTGCCACCATGCTTCCCCAACTACACAAATGATTCAACCACCTTCTAAATGTGGAAAACGTAAGAATAATGACAATAATAAATACTTTTTGTCTAGTGTGCCATGGCACAGTGATCATGTTAGGCTTCGTCTGCTGCCTAATGCAATGTAACACAGCAGATAAAATAAATCAAATGGGTGACACTGTATTAGACTTGAAAGATGATAGCTCTTGTAAAGCAACTGATGTGAGAATATGTCAGTGCAGTAGATTTCAAATGTTTATTGAAGTCTTGAATCTTTGAAACCCAGCAAATGCATATTTTAAGGGCTATGAAACAAGTGACTACAAATACAGCAGTATGCTTATTACTGACAAAGCTGGTGCCTGAAACAGAATTCAGCTATATTTTATTTTCTTTGTGTGTTCAATTCATTTTTTCATTTCTGCAAGTGCTTCCTAGGGACATTGGCTTGAATTTCAAAGCGTACCACTACGAATGCTTTAGTGATTATTGTGGTAGCTAGATTCAGAATTTTTAGTTACAAAAGTTTAGTAGTGCCTACCAAAGATCATTTTAAGTTTCAGTGAGCTAGGATTTAATAATATGGATTCAAAAAATAGTATCCAAAAAACACTTCTGGTGATTTATTTCAACATTGTAATAAAAAGTTATGTTTATTGGGGTCAATATTAAGGAAGGTTTAAATTTGTGTTTCTTTCTTGTACTTCTTTCAACTGTTTATTAATTTTGAATGCTTATAACAATTCACTGATTCATTACTTGAGCCTTCTGAAAACTTGATCTGCTAATTATCTTTCAGTAAATAAGCATGGAGTTGTTGTAAGGGTTGTAACCAATTAGGAAGCCTATGAAGTCATGCCTAGTCTCTTTACTTAAAGCTGTGTTCTTTTTTGTTTCTGCTCAATATGCAGTTTAAATAAGTTTTTTTATTTGATCATTGTGGTCGCATTGTGAATTAAATTTTTCAAAAATACATTCCCAAATATGGTATTTATTCTATAAAAATATAATGCATTTTCTTAAAGTTTACAAATAAATTGTTAAATTAGTTAAAAATTAAATTAAAAGTAGCTTCAAGGAAATTGTCTTCTAGATCACATTTTTATGTGTGTTCTCAACAGCAGAATGACAAGCTGTGAAGAATAAACCTGCATTTATGAAAGGGGTGTGCCCCCGTTAGTTTCTGAATTTGTTCTCCATTAATTTTAACTATTTATGAAATTGTCAGAGTATGATAGGAATAGTGTTAAGGACATTTGGGTACTATGCCTGTAATTTTGGTTCTGTAATCTGTTTGGAGTTCTTTTAAGTTTAGCTTCTGTGAGTACTTACAAGTTTTAGAGTGCTTCACACTTGTTCTTTAGATTATTTAAGTGCTTCTCTAATGTATCTTCCTCAATAATTGACATATATTCATAATTTGAAATTCATCTTGCATTTAATAACCAAAGGAAAAAAAAAACCATTAAATGTGTTTGGGTTTTGTTGTAGGTATTACATGATAAAACCAAGAACCCAAAACTAAAACAAAAAAATAATTAACTTTCTTTCTCTGTGTAGCCCACTGTTTGTGAACGGGAGCTCTGTGTATTTGCTTTCCAAACATTAGGAGTGATGAACGAAGCTGCTGATGAAATTGCAACTGGGGCTCAGGTAGAATTATCTAATGCTTATCACATGTCTGATTTTCTATAGTATACTCAGTCTTCTCAGTCTCTTCTAGTATTTATTTTGACTTGTATTCTCCATACGAGTACTGTTTGGTAAGATTTATTTGTCCACTCCTACAGCTTTAAATACACTGTTTCATGCATGGCATTTTCTAATGGTACTAATGAGGTGCTTCCATTGTTTTGCTTCCATGTAATTAGAGTAACCCTGTTTTCCTGTTCTGTTGTATTCAGTTAGGTCACCTGGGTTGTTAATAAAGGCAGCCATTGTCATTTGGAGATAATTCTCATTTATTTTCACCTAATGAGCCATTACTACTCTCATGCAATTAATAAGCTACTTCCTGTTCATGGTGTTGGGATGCAGCGATCCACTGAGCATCTGTTGTTTTGATCATTAAATAACAGTGGGAAAGTCCTTACTGATGTTGCTACATAGGTTTTTTTCTCTCTTCTCAAGGATCAGGAATTTAATATAAGCTTGCTTCCTGACTCTAAGTTCAGTTATTAACGTAGTTATAACCATATCATTGTTTTCTTTCATAATTTTGTATGTGCCTTAAAACAAAGTATTTTAAACTATGTTTCCAAATCGCCATTTAAGCTTAGATTAAAGTAAGTTCAAAAGTTAAAAGATCTTAGGATCCTTTTAAGATCTTAAGTTAAAAGTTTACACATCTTACGGAAAAGTGTGTTCCTCTCTGATTTCCTAGACTTATGTCACTCACTGTGCATTTATGTAGTAAGCAACATGGGTTTTTTGGAAGAGCAAACGTTCAGGTCAGTTAACTTTAACTAGCACTAGTGAATCTAGCCACTGGGAATAAACTATTCAGCTAAGTGCCTGAATACCGCCTATGGGCATATCGTCAAAGGAAGAAACTTGCGGCAGTGTATGCCAGCTTCTTCACTTGAGAATACGACTGCGGGATCTGAACATCAGCTCTTCATCTGATGTCTGAAGACTAGATGGCTATATTTGCAACATCTAGCATACCAGACATTGGGATACCTGTGTAAGCTTGTAAGAAATGGAGAGAGGTGTGCTGATGAAGCCCCACCTCTTCTTCAGCCTGAAGTCCTCTGAAGACCTCAGCTATGTGTTTCAAGGAGCTGGAGTCTTATTTTTTTAATTCAGGCACTTACGTGGTACATTACAGGTACCTTTAGAACCATAGAAGCATAGAATAGTTTGGGTTGGAAGGGACCTCTAAAGGTCATCTAGTCCAACCCCCCTGCCGTGGGCAGGGACATCTTCAACTAGGTCAGATTGCTCAGAGCCCCGTCCAACCTGACCTTGAGTGTTCCTAGGGATGGGGCATCCACCACCTCTCTGGGCAACCTGTGCCAGTGTTTCACCACCCTCAGCGTAAAAAATCTCTTCCTTCTATCTAGTCTCAATCTACCCCCCTTTAGTTTAAAGCCATTCCCCCTTGTCCTGTCGCAACAGGCCCT